AACATTTAACAAAAAAGGGATATACTTACAGCCATGTAACTGAAATGTCTAATTTGACACAAAATGCTTAAAATAGATAAATAAATAAATTTATATTAAGTTAACTATAAGCACAGACTGACTACAGACAAGTCTAACTACCTGGTTTTGCTTTCCTGTCATCACTTTCTTCCAGCTGCTCCAGCTGGTTATTCTCCTTTTGGTTCCTCCCTGCAGGCTGCTTCAGAGTTTCCTCTTCCTCACTATCTGACTCTATGATGGCCTTATGTTTACCTTTGTCCCTCCCGACCATCCTGTCATCAGATACAATCTCAATATTCTGTTTTCTGGCCTCAGTCTCACAGTCTGCCTCCCCAGACTGGCCTCTCTGGACTGACATTTGCTCCTCAGTATCATTGTCATTGATAAGCTGCTTTGGTTCATCATCTTCAGAGCTCCCCCTTCTTTTCAGGAGGTCCACCTCATTTCTGTCGCTGGCAGTAGGTCTGGAGACACCCTGTTCCAAGTGACTGTCATGTAATTACACTTTATCGGAACACAAACTGGGAAAGTTGGCATAATGTATAAACGTTTATTAGTATATTACAATCCATGAGGAAAAAGACACCACCTCGAAAGGACGTACGGCACTGTTCACGTCATCTTCGTCGAGGGATTCGGCCGCGAGCTCGTCCTGCACGGGGGTGCCACCGCCTTCATCTGCAAACACAAGGCGGCGCTCTGCTAGAATAATATTCTTACCGTCACCATTATCACCATGCTAGATAGCCACAATTGCTTAGCAAAGCAACACACATCGTGAACAAATACTACTACACTAATACTAAATAATACTTACCTAACCATCTATCCAGCTACCCAATGCAATTATTTTGCTTTACGTAAAACTACGTTATTTTTTAATAAAAAATTTTGCCTGAAACACCAATTAAACTACCTGAACGGGCTCCGGAAAAGAATTCCTCTTCTCCAGCCATCCGGTCTTTCAGCTTTTTGAAACTCTGTAAAGTTTAAGGTACCCGCGTTGCTGGAACGTGGCTGAATAATATTACAATATAGGTTGTAATCACTAATAATCCTGAAAACCACAAAACAACGACCAGCTGATTCACTGGTAACGAAAACAATGCAGCGGTCGGGAGAGCTAGGCCTCTTAAGACTAGTGAAGAAAAAAGTTCAAACTTAAAATTAAAAACTAAAATAAACATGCACGAATACTTTAAATTATAAGCGAATTACGCCACCATACCGCTCATGCACGCTGCATGGACAATAGGCAGAAATGGACCAATGTTTAGTTAGCGTGAGATTTACGGAAGTGACGTGGTATTATTATTTTTTTGCATGAGCTCTTTAGATCTTTACAATTAAAAAGACATTTGCTCGTATTTTTTTTTAAATTACGTGTTCAATCTAGGGGTGCAACAATGCATGTATAGATTCAACGGCAAACGATGCGATGCATCGACGTGACCGCATAAATGTCGATGCAAGCGTTTTTTTTCCCTCGCCGTTTCCAGTATTGTTTTCATGATCCACCCCGACGTATACATGGTCTACACCAGTGGCCTGTACTACGAAGCGGGGTTACTGGCTTATCGGGGTAACTTGTCGGATTTAAGGTAGCACCGTTTAAATGGACCTCATATTCGTTCATTTACATTTTGCCCAGACTACCTTAAATCTGACAAGTTACCCCGTTAAGCCAGTAACCCCGCTTCGTAGTACAGGCCACAGGGGTGCCCAATACGTCGCAAAGATAGTGCGGGTAGATCGTATGGCATAAAAAAATAGAAGATGGATGACGCGTTCAACCTCGCCAGCTGCTGCAAATCTCTAGCGAGCTACTGAATCCCCTAGTTAGCCTCCAATTTATTTCTACTAAACTTAGGAAAGGGTATAAAAAAGAATGCGGGAGCTGGACCAAGTAAGAAGCCAAAAACCTAACACTTCCATACGGAATGGGAGGAGGACTGTTTTTTTCACTATATATTCGTGTAATATAAAGTGCATTTGCCTTATCTGTCAGTCAACCGCTGCTGTTCCGAAGAAGGGAAATGTGGAGCGGCATTTTCGGACTGTTCATAAACACTACATTAACTTCCCTCCGAAAAGCGAGCTGAGAGACAGAAGGGTGAAGGAATTAACTAAAATCCCAGTTCAATTAAAAAATACTTTGTCCCAAAGGGAAATTAATAATAGTAGTAATAATAATACTCAATATTTTTATACATAAATATATGTTTTGTATTTTTATATAGGTAGATCATTCTGACTTGGTCATTTATAAGTAGCTGACAAGCTAGCCTACCTTCAGAGCGTGTGTTTAGTACGTCAGGTGACATATAGCTACGCTCAGAACACACAATCTCCTGAAAACGTTGACCATTTAATTTTTCTTAAAGAAAACCTCTCAAAGAAGATTACTGACATACTTGTTTCACCGCAGAAGTCAGTCATGTTAATCTTCCTCATTCTACATGTCTGTCCATGCAATGTTTTTTATTTTTACCTTAGGCCACTTGAAATTAATAAATTGTTTTACATGACTCAAACTTCTAAAATATTGGTGAGTAGGGGATTTTATATTTTATATTTTTAGCGAAAAGACGAACGGCAACAGAGATATACTAAAACTAGAAAAGTTCTCAAACAGCTCGCGAAGGGTAATAACTCGGTATTTTGATGCCCTGCCAAGATTTTAATACCGTGGGCCCACACACAATCTGACAAACGATAAAAACCATTGTCCGAGAAGCGTCAAATTGAAAAATCCGAGGCTGACATTCAAGATTTTTCACCCACAGTTTTTGAGGTGAAAAAAACGGATTTTTTGAAAAATATAAAATATAAAAAAAATCGAGGCGGCACCAAAAAATTGAGGCGGGCGGCCATGTAAAACAATTTATTAATTTTAAGTGGCCTTATTGCACTTTATTTTGCTTGTTTTATAGGACATACTTGACTACACTAGATTTTGTTTACAGTACCCAATAAAATATAATAAAATGCTAATTATGTTTGCCTTTTTTAATTCATTGAAATGTAAAGAATTGTGTGAAATTTCATCATTTCGACTACTAACCCCAGTATCGAACTGAATCGAAACGTATCGTGGGAATTTCTGAGGTATCAGAAAAAAAGCAAACCGTTGGCTTAAGAAATGGATATTGTATCGTATCTCGAGGAAAGCTGTGATTTACACCCCTAGTTCAATCGCATTGAGACGTGCTACCATGAATGCACTGATCAAATATAGCATGATATTTAACATGTTTGAGTTTCAAAAGAGTATCAAACTATACTCTCACTGTGAACAAATGCCGATTCCTTGAGTCATTTCATGTAAATACGTTACACACTAACCATAATTTGGCACGCTATATTTCTTCGATTCTTTGTTCGATCCGCGCTTCAGTAGTATATATTTCGACAAGGTAGTAAACATTGTCAGAAGTGGCTGAATTCCAGGCACTTAATTCTTTGCATAATTATTACAAAAACATTATTAATAATAAAAGTTTTTATAGGCCACGTTCATTGGCTTTGGTGTATTGGTAAGTTATTCTCTACATGAATTGTTGCAGTTTTATGAGTAAAGTGATTAGTGTGTTTAATAACACCTTTTCTTATGTGACTTGCAGAGAAATAGCCAAATTCATTGACCCTGGACCATGGACTGAAAAAACAGGCCTGGATATTCAGGTAATAAACAATTAGATTCATGTTTTCTCAGTTGTAAAATCAGTATCTCACTTGTTTTTGTTCTCACAGGATGTTCCACGGCAGACATCAGGGAATGACTGTGGAGTTTTTAATGCTTATGGTAAGTTACAAATCATTTGGTCAAGTTCTGTAAGTCATTTCCAGTGGTAACACTGTATGTTTTTTTTTTCTCTAGTATGCACTGCATTCTTATAGACGGCCCATTCAATTTCATATTGGTTAGTATTTTCGTTTTTTAATAAAGTTGCTACCACATTATTGTGAAAGCACTCATTTAATAACACGTTTAATTGTAAAAGCAGTATTAGTCTGTTATAATATATATTGTATGTATTTCTGTTTTTAAGCTAGATATGCCATCAATCAGGGAACGGTGGTGTATAAATTTAATGGAATGGTTTCAAACTGAAGGGTATGCTTTGGGAAGCTTTCATATTTGGGTATTGGTCAAATTAATAGTAAAAACTTATTTGCCCTTTGGACTGTTGAGGCAACTGACCTTCTTCAGGGCAAATTGCAGCCTGTATACAGGGTATCCAGTCCGTCTAAAATAAGTCACGGCACCCCAAAACATGAGGTGGTGCTCAGTGAGCGCACTTCAAACAACGAAAAACTTGTGGACCTTATAATCAAGGAACAAGAGGCAAAAGAACAACTGAATGTAAGATATTATTCCTTTAGTGTTTTCATTGATTATAAGAAGAACTAACACAGGTAAATTATGCATTTAGTAGCCATGATACACATTAAAGTAACATAAATGTGTTTTGGTTGTACCAAGAAATCCTACTGTTTGCAATTCTCAGCAGCTATTATTTGTTATACAAAATGAAAGAATGTGTTTTTCATATAGGTACTGAATGGTTAGTTAAGGAAAGGAGAGAGTAGATTACAGTCTGTAATTTGAAAATTATAAAGTGCATTATATTATGTGGTGGGTAAC